TGGCAGGACGAGGCTGCCCATCTGCTGCAAATTACTCAGCATCCAGCTGCGGATTTTCTCTCGGCATCTCGGTTAAGTTTCTCACGAGTGGGAAAGTGCTTCTTTCCTTCCCATTTGCAAACGTCTGGAGGATGTTTTTCTGACACAGCCGCTGTGCTAGAGCAGCGGGAGCAGTCACGTGGCGAGGGCCAGGAAGAGAAACGCTGCGGGCCGCGGGAGGAGCCCTTCGCCAAGGCTCGAGCTGCAGCCTGGACGCAAATTCCCAGCTCCGTCGTGCACCTTCTGCCGACTCCCTGTGCGCCTGGGAGGCTTGCAAGGCAACCAGGGTGTTGTTGACTCGCTGCATGAGGTGTCCATGGAAATGGTACGTGTTCCTAAGCAGTACATGTTACTTCAGGGTGAGAATACGTATTTTCTATCAACACAGAGAACTGCTGCAAATGGTCTTATCTTTGAGATGTGCCCAAAAGGAATGGAAGCCCTGGGCTCTCAGCTGGCCTTTGGTCAACGCTCAGGGGCTATTTGCACTGCAGGTCCTAGTGCCCTGGTCAGAAGTGGCCAATCTCAGCACCTCAGATTGTCCCGCGCCGCTTCCTGCAGCCGCGAGGGAGATCCCTGAGCGTCAAACCCAGGGGCAGGGGAAGAACCCATGACTGCTTATCATTCAGCCATCAATTCCACGCATTTATGGAACGATCCCAGGTGCAGAGTTCCAAACTGAAAGAGGCTGTCAGGGCAGACAAGCCTGTCGTGGTTTGTTTGGGCAGAAAACAGGCACTTTGTGGTCAAGCATGATGAGACTTTGCCCTAAATGCTTCCAAAGAGGGCTGAGCTGGCAGGGCCAGCTGCTAATGAACGGGCAAGAAAGCAAGGATGATGCTAGGCAGACACGGACAGACAGTGCCAAGGCAAAAGTTATGCGGGGAAGCAGGACACAGAAAGCTGCCGATTGCTTAAAACATCTGTATTACCTGCTGAGGCACCACAAGAGCCATTTACAGCTGGTGGAGTCTGCATCTGGAAGATCATCTTATGGAGAGCATACTCCATATGCCCTCTCACAAGGAATTTTACCAAAAGCCACTATTAACTGTGGAAAAATAATCTGTTCAACAAGACAAGCCTGGAAGAGCTTAAACAGACATGGTACCAGAAATGAAGAGTTCATCCAGGAAAGCTTGATCCCAAGTGAGTGCCTGGTGGACCCAGTGTGGCATTTTCATACGATGGAGCAAAGAAGTCCTTAAAAAAAGTGCAGTTCCATATACACATAACTGGGTTGTCCTATAGCACTGATAGTTTAGTTAAGGCTGCGTGGGAGCTCCCCTAAGGACGAACTTTCCCTTCCTCACTCCTCATACTCCTCCATTAGCAGGCTTGGGTCTGCTGACATAATCAATGCCTTGAGCATTAGAGTCACACTTACTCATCACCAAAGTTTATACCTCAAAAGTCACGTATCTTCCCAAGAGGAAATCCAATCGGACAGACTATATAATCACTGAACTACAGAGGAAGACCGTAAGAGGATGTACGGTCAACAGCAGGAGATCCCAGTGTGACTAACACACCTGGCTGCCTCCACCTTTATGTGGACCATGATTTCCTGCATTTTCAGTAAAAACTTACTTTTTTGGCTGCCTGGCAGCTGGAGAACCGGAACATTTTCACTCTGCAGCAGGAACATCCATCTGCTCACGCCCATTAGCAAACCAGCACATGGGTAACAGTCCCAACACGTAGTTTCCTTCGCCCTCAAAGCCAGGCACCAACTCCTGCTCAGCGTCCTGACCTTTTCATCTCGGTCCCGTTATGGGACTTGGCATCAGGACACGGTAAGGAACTAAACTGCTGTCACTGCAATGGAAGTGGCACAGGGGGCTCAAGCTGTGTCTGCTTCCATCGGCACCCAGTGTGGCCTTAGAAAACATTTAAACCGTGAGTTTAACGCTGATTTGCACTATGCATTTTTGCCATTTGTGATAAACTAAAGGTCCATTCTGCTCAGCTGTCAAGCACAAAACACTTCCTATTTAAGGGATTACACAGGTTAATATTGTTTTTTCCTGTGTTAAGTGGAGAATGAGACAGTTCCTTCTGCTTCAAATAGTGGCATATTGCAGCTGCATGGTAAGCAGTAGCCAAGATGCATATAGAGCACATCCTACAACGCATTTCCATTGGCTAAACATAACTATGTTAAGTGTGCTGCATACACAGGAAAGTTAAAAACACTCTTAAAAAGGCTTTGCATTTAGAGCTGAACCACTGAAAAAGAAATATAGCACGTGAGATGGGGAACTGTCTGCTTACAGAGCAGCTTCTGAAAAACTCACTAAGCACACACCTAAAATCTGATCCTAGGTGCTTTGCATATTGAGAATCGGCACTTCTCATTTTTTACAAACATTTTTACTTATAAATTGGAAGAAGGAAATTAACTTTTTTCTCAAGACTCAGCAGAATGACGATCAGAGGCAGCTTTTTTTATTGAAAGCAGCTTTAAGACTTAGACAATGAACAGGCCAGGTGACACAACGAGCCAGCTCCATCTTCCACAACTGGTTCGTGTGATTCGTTTCTGGCCTTGCTCAGAATCATCAGAGCATCATTATGGTTGGAAGACCCTCAAGATCACTGCGTACAACTCCTGAGCTCAGGAGTGAAAACCCACAGGGTTCACATGGCTCCAAGGCACCTTTGGGTGGGCTGCCTGTGCTCCAGGGGCAGCCCGGTGAGGCAATTTGCAAGTTCTGATGGACACTGTTTTGAAAGCACTCTGGAAACAGGTCCACGACTCACAGGTCTCATCAAAAGGAAACTACTGGGTTGCAGAGCCTCTTGCCTGTTAATACCAAGGCGACTCTCTCATTCACACAATGGGTGTGAATGGGTGGCAGCTCAACAGTCCCTCTCCATCCACTCTGTGCATCCACTCTTCTCCATCCACCCCATAGCCCTGGGGCGGCCCTTTCTGCTAGCAGACAGATTCAAGCTGAGTCACCAAATGGTGCTTTGCCCAGCACAACAGCCACACAAATTCTATCTTGATGTTGTTGCAGGGGCAGGAAGACCCCAGGGTTCCCAGGTAACGACAGTGGGGCCATCTGCACTCACGCTCTCACCGAGTGGGGTTGTGTGGGATCTTCATTCCATCACCTTCGCTTGTGGCTGCCCATTCCCACATAAGCCTCCAGGGCTTCCAAGTCTCCTTCAGGTGACCTCAGCTGCTGACCTGCTCTGCCTGCCCTCCCTCCTCACTGGAGACATCAACCCGTGTGTTTAAGAGGGAAAAAACAGTGAGCAGGACGTGCCCAGCACCATCCAGCACCAAAAGATGCTGCTGCTTTCTTCAGTACCACTACAGCTGAGCCTGTCACTACAAGCTCCCATCCACATCAGGCAAATGTTCCTCGGGATCCAAGTGCAGCCACGCAGCCCTCAGGCTCAGCCCACCTGTGATTCAACTCCCCCACCGAGGGACCAGTGTCCACAGCTGCAGGAGTTTGGTGCTCAGCAGCATTTGGGAGTAGAGAGGATGGCAGGGTCTGCTCCTCTGCCAGCTGCAACCACACAGTCAGCAGCTGCTTCGCTGCCTGGCTGGTGCCTACTGGCTGAAGCACCACAGTGAAGCCAGAGCTCCTGAGAGCCTGTGGCATGCACAGGACACTGAGTTACCCACCCCTGAAACACGGGCATGGAAAGGAGGAAACGGTGAGCTAAGGAACACATTCATTAAAAGTGATGCTATCTGCTTAGACACATAAACACCAGGATGGCTTTAGAGACTTCCACGGCCTCTCTAGTCACCAGTATCATCTATGCAAGGACGGTCACTAAAGCTGCTGGCAATGAGAATATCTGCATTGACACCTGAGAAAACAAATAAAAGAAAAGAGATGGCTGGGAGGAAGAGCTGGAAAGAAGAGCGCTGAATGGGACACACAGGAAGCAGCACAAGAAAGAAAGAGTCAAGGTGGGAAAAGCACATGGCTGGGGAAAAAACAGAATGTGGGATAGACAAGGGAATGGGGAAAGGCCAGAATTTTATACATCCCCACATACCAGTCTGGCTTTGAGTAGTGTGTTGGCTTCCTAATGCAGAAAGGAAGAGCTTCCAGCCAAGGCCCAAATCCTCCCAGAGAAGCCTTGAGCAGCCCTCAGGTTTTCCAGTTCAAAGAGAGGTTCAGGTGAGCACCTTGCAATGTCCTGGCAGGCCCTGGCACCCATGCTGGTAAGCCTAGAACCACTCCTAACCATAGCAGATGATGAGCAAGGCATATGAAGGTCAGGACTTAATTTGTAAAAATTTCTGCGTTTGGTTTGTTTTTTACCATGAGCTTTCACTCTTGTGTGTTTTAAATTTTGCAAGTTAGACACAAACTGATTCAGGACAAGGATGAGCGTGATGTGAGCAGGTACAAGCAGATGGAAAGGAGGATCTGTGAGTTGTGTCACAGCAACCGTGGGTCAGTATTTAAAAGATGTTCAGGCAGAACTAAATTCTTGGGCAATATATGATAGACAATTCTTTTTTTGTATTATTTTTTCTTGGCCCTCTTCCCATGCTACAGATACATCTTCCCACCTGCAAAGCTAAAGAGCAGCAAGTTTGCAGCCAGAAGGTTTTTCAACACAGATTTCTTGGCTTTAGGGACGAGCTGTTTGATACGAAGGAAGATGGTTCTGTCCTTCTTCCATCACTGCCTAAGAACAACCCAAAGCCGCTGCGGTTAAAGCGGCGACAGAGCAGCTCCTAGAGCAGTCAGGAACCCTTTTAAAGATGAACTCTTAAACACTCGGAAATCCTCCACACAAACCACGCATGCTACAGACACAGGACATGAGGAACAGGGGCTGCTTTCAGAACAGCGAGTGACAGCACCAGCTCTGTCCCTGTTCTGTCATTTCTACCGGCCTGGTTTGGCCCACTGAGGAGAGGCTCTGCCAAAGGGAACAGGAGCACAGAGTATAAGGGCCTGAAACAGAGACAAGCTCACCTGATGGATTCTGCTTACATCGCTTTTCTTTAGGTTTTTCTGTCCCCGAATGAATAGCTGCAATTGTGGTGAATGCTTGGATTAGTACAGGATCGATCCTCATTGCACATTACCCAGTATTTTAGTAACAAACAGCTTTTTTTCCCATTTCAGAATCTCCCACTCCTCTAGACCACACATGAGTTTTCCAGCACCATCCCATTCCTTTATTAGACAGTTCCAGAAGATGCCTCGTGTGCTCCAGAGGCGGATATAACCCTCCAAATGCATGACATTTAACCTGCTGCGGGGGTAAATTCCTTCCTAACTCCTGGCAGTTCCTGGAGAACACAGCTCTGTCTCTTACCCGTCCATTCCAGCTCGCAGCACTGTGCACACCACATGCTTTAGTCCTCTTGAAAGGGCAAGGGAAGGAGGCAGCCTTTTCTGCTTGCATGTGACTGACCTTTGCATGAAGATGCTGAAAGGCCATTACATCTGGCATGTCTGTTAAACTCCAATTAGGGAGTTTAACAGCGGTAGTGTCCCACTTGCAAGCAAGGAAATACATGGAGGGGATGAAAGCAAGATCTTGCAAAGGAAGCTTTATAAATGCCATACCTAAATAAAACTGTCTATAATGGGGGGTTATGTTCAGTTACTATCACTTGGATGTAAATTCAAAGGAAACCCAGGAAGTGAAGCACATTTGAGTTCCTTCTCGCACATCTATTCTGCTCTCACCTCGCCACATCGGACATACTGTGACCTCCCTGGAGTGAATTCACAGGCAGCCGGATTTCTGTTCACAGTGAAGCGCAACCACAATTCAGCATCACTGTAAGATGCAAATTGCTATTTTATTTATAGTCCTCAAAATTCTCTTGCTTGTTGAAAATTGTTTTGCTTCACAAGGACTTCACTGATGAACAAAGAATGGGCACAGCTTCATCTCCATCCATATTCCCCCTTTTCTGCATCTTTGTTCTCCAGGAAAACGACTGTGCTGAAGTACCTGGACCTCAGGAGCAGCATCCCCACCTCACTGTTCGTGGAGGCTCCAGAGTGCCAGAAATTGGGGGAGGATTGGAAAGAGGACTATACCCCAGGAAGGCGAGGAGCTTGCAAGCTTTGCAGAAAGCACCCAACACACAAACCACCACCAGTCGCAGCTGAATCCTGCCCTGCAGAGGGATGTGCTAAGCAACAGCAGGAGGGAACGACCACACTTACCGCTGGAGTTCTGAGAACTGCTGTTTGTTTCTTCAAAGTTGTTCTGCCCTTTGCCTTCCACTCTCCTGCTGAAAGCACTTTCTGCTGGGTGGAGAACAAAGCATGGACGGTGACTGGTCAATAATGGACACAGAATCACACAAACAGGAAGCAGACAACACATTCCCATGCCACATAATTGTATACCCTGAACACGGTAGAAAGGCTAAATTTCTCATTCTGGAGGCAAACGGGCCAGATTCATTGAAGGGATAACATGCAGATATTTTTTTACAGTGCCTTCTGGCAGAGGTGGCCTGGATTAACCTCTAGGGAGCCCAGAACCACCAGTCCAGAGGGGACACGGCTTCTTCCCGGCCACCAAAACACACCCTATGGAACCCCTCCTATGCTCTGGCACAGGGGACAGGCCTGTGGATGGGACTCGGGTCCTCACCACAGCTCATTTAGAGTGTCACCAGTGTCCCGCTGTGCCGGCTCTCCCCGGCATCCCGGTCACCAGCACCCCCTTCCCACACACCCTCCCCGAAGCCTCCGAGCGGAGCAGTCGCCGGCGCTCTGCAGGCTGCGCACGACTCGGGAAGGCCAACGCGGCCCCTTGTGCCCTCCTCGCTGCCTTACGGGCAGGCCGCCCTGCTCTGCCCGCTGCCAGCGGCGCTCTGCTGGGCTCAGCAACGCCCAAGTTGTCCAGCAAGGGGGGCTGAAGAAAGAAATCCTCAATGCACGAGTGCCAGTGACATAGAACTCCCCCGAAGCTCTGTTTCAGATGAGTGTTTTAATTCTGTGAACTGCCAAGCAGCCAGGGGCTCTGTCTGGACATTCGCAGAGAGGTCCCAGCCACCTGCAGCCTCGAGAGCCCCTCCAATGAAGCATGGCCTGGATAAGGGCCCTGAATCTCCCTTTGGCTGCAAGAGCCCTGAGGTGCATGAAGCTCCCGGGCCATGAACGCAACCTGGTCAGGCCTCAGTGGAAATATCCACTGACCGGCAAACCCTTCCAGTGATGACGAGGCTCCTCAAATTCTCCAACTACTACATTCCTGCTTCCTCCCAAAATACGGGAAAACATGAGGGCTTGATAATCAATTCAGGAGTTAAGCAGATCACATAAAAGAGGGCTGAAAAGGAGCAGGACACATTATCCCACCCATCTCTTCCCACAGATAAGTGCTATCAATGAGAGGCCTTAAGCAACTGGTGAACCAGATGGCACAGTGGGAAGAGGAGACCGTGGCAAAAGGGATTCAACTGTCCTTTCCTTCCCACCCCCAGGAGACCCGGGTTCAAATCCTGGCTTATGTCACAAGGGAAAGCAAGCTGGAAACCTCCAAAGATATTTGGAAAAAAAATCCATGGTGTTTTTTCCCCCATCTCCTAAAACTTTTTATTTGGCTGGTCTGGCAGTTAGGAACAGGTCTAACGAGTGTCCTTGGACTTGTCCTGTGTTTTCCTACCAGGAAAGGGCAGCTTCCACAAGGCAGACCACTCTCTCCTCCCATCTGGACCTCCTGCACGCGTCTGAACACTCTGCAGAGCCAACCTAGGCACCCAGGGCAGGGCAGGAGCAGCCGGCCTGGCGTCTGCGCATGTCTGCTGTGCAGAGTGGTGCTCCTCCACCCTTGGGTTTACCCAGGCCCACATGGAACGTCGCTGACTGCGACACTAGGAAGGCATCCACTCGGGACACTGTCTTCCGATATGTGTTACAGCCAATGCACTTGTATTCTCGAAGCCACTCGAACTGCATCTGTGCACAACACTGCCTTGAAAGACACCACGGAGATGATGCTACTGGAAACATGGGAGGACGCTGGGGCTAAAAAGAGTTTCTTGAAGATCACTGTATCTGGCTGAAGTACCACACTGATTCCTTCCTTCATACAGGGAGAGAACAAGTCTAACTTACACTTAATGCACTGATATACTTTTTGATTACAGAAGTAGGAAAAAAATATCCCATTACAAAAAAAACCATCTCCCAGTTATTGCTTGGATGAATCTGACCTCTGACCCAGGAAGACTCCTGGTTAGGCTCTTTCTGCTTGTGTAAGAGACATGAAATGGGAAGAAGCTGTCATAAGTTTAGATAAACAATGAAAAAAGTTCCTCAGCTTGAACTCCTAACTTGATAGAACTGGAGAGATCTTCAAATTAGAAATAAAGAAAAATGATTATTTAAGAGCTGCAATAACAGTATGGAATTTCAGGGCCCACAAGCTATAGGAAGACAGGTTATTCACTGTAATATCTGGGAGCTGCAGATGTGCATGTGGTCTAACCAAAAATGCCCTTGTTCAGAGTGCTGCGGTCTCTGTCTCCACAGCCATGGGTGCTTCTCACATCTGTCCGTGCGAGACATTTCAGGGGCATCTAAACAATATCTGATTAACTACTCCTTCCACTGAATTAAATGGAATATATATCTACCAAACCCTCAGATTTGAGAAAACTCTTCCCTGTTGTGTGCTAACATGAACTGTACATCTCCCATTATATTTATTAATAATTATTTTTGACTGCGCTTTTTTTCCCTATTTTTTTTAAATTATATGTTTGATCTTGTTTGGAAGGAACGAGCGGGAACATGGGGAGGAGCGACTCCAACTCCACTTGTCTGACCCCTCTGTAGCGGCCCTGCACCCTTCACTTTGCTGCTGGAGCCCATCTCATCTCTGGGTGCTTCCTGTGAGGAACGTGCAAACACCTGCACTTCATTGCATTCGACTTTCCCCAGGCACAGACCTACCTCTGAAATAAGCACCTGTGAGATACACAAGCCAAACAAAGCTGAAATAAATGCAAAAATCCCCATACCTGAGAAGCCACTAAGCCCGTCTTGGACAGCAAGCTCTCCTCAGTTTGTGACACCAGGATTTGAAACAGGGTCTTTTGTGCCTTGTCATTTGTATGATGCTTTAAAAAAATACTTGCCACTGGGAAGAGGCTTTAAAACCCTACTGTTGATTTAAATTTTGTTTTGTACCTTGTTAAAGGATAGAATCCCCTCAACTGCTTCTGGGAATAGCTTTTCTGGGACAGTCTTGGATGGAGCAGACTGAGTCCAGGAAGGGTCAAAAAGCCATCCCAGGGCAGGACTGGACACTGAGCAGTTAAGAAAGTTGATGGTAGAAAGGCAATTGGTACCTGTGATGGCCTTGCTTCCTGGGGATCCAGAATTTGGAGCGCGGAACATCTGGGATTGGGATGCCGGTGGGACACCGGAGGGGGTGCGGTGCAGGAGGGTGGAACATCGGTTTAGTGAAGGCGGTGTTTTTTTGCTGGATTGGCTCGCCTGTGTCTTCACTGCCACGAAGAGTGGAGATCGAGAGAACTCTGGATATGAACACTCAGAACTAGTGCCTGGACAGTCAGTCAGCTCCCAGCCCGTGGGTCTTCTGGGAGGATTGCTTTCTAACATCCATGCTCACGGATCCCTTGCACGGGGACCTGCAGCGACTGGGCATCCACCGATCTCATATAACAAAATTGTTTTCCCACTACCCAAAGGGTCAGATTCCTAAGCTCATTAGTTCCCCTCCACACCTTTAACTGCCACGTGACCAACCCACTTCTCCTCCAGCAAAAATCACCCCATCCATCCAGGCATCCCAGCTGATTGGGGTTTATTGCACCTCTGTGCTCTGCTTTTACTTCAGTAAAGTCTGAGCCTAGAGAGCAGGTTTCTAATGTGCTACTCAAGAGCTCTAAGTGGGGGAAAAAGTTAAATCTTTTATCCTTGAGCCTTACATATGTCCTAGAGATTTCTAGCTACATTCCTTGTCTCTGCAACCTAATATAAGGAAAAGGGGGTTGTTGGTAATGGGAGGGAAGTATGAGGGAGAGGTCCCATCCCACAGGTCAGGAGATGTCTTTTGGCTCCCACGTCAAGTGCTGGCAAGTCATGGAGAAATTCTGAGTATTGCTGTGCTATGCTCTTTGAACATACCCCAACCTACAAGGAGGCATTTTGGTCTCTGCAAACGCGCAGGGCGAATTTCCAGGAATTTTCAATGCCAAAAGTCGTACGAAAACTTTCTGGGAGAACACTCCTTTGTTCAGGCTGAATGGATTAATAAAAAAATCAGTATAATAAAATGTGATAAATCACACATACACATGCAAAGGGGAATGAAGACTCTCCAGTGGAATGAAGACTCTTCATGGAAGTTTGGATATAGTTTCCAAAGACAAGTCCCACTCCAACCATCTGCCACAGAGATGCACTAAGAAGCAATGTTCTCCTAACTCAGAGTCTAAGCTCACTACCGTTGACTACGTCCATGCCCAAGTGACTCTATGGAGTGCCCAAACCTGAAGGGTCTAAGCCAAAACACTCATCCACGTTGAGCAATCCTCAATCACGGGCTGCTGCAGCAGCCCAGGCACCTGTCCTGAAGCAGGTGGGCAGAAAAGTGACCTGGACTGGCACTGCTCATCTGCAGATCCTGAGAGGTTCTAGATCTCCCCTGGGCCTGTTCCCATGTTTCCCTAGCAGTGAACGGCAGCAACTGAAAGTGGTGATGGTCGAATCGAAGGATCCTGCAAAGAGAGACTCAGAGCAGTACTTGTTTTGTTTGATCTGTTATACAGACTCAAGATGCCACTTCTAGTGAATGTTGCTATACTTAGACAGATTCTTCTACAGCAGGTTTTCCTGTAGTCTAAGTCAAGACACTTCTCTGCTTGGTGTCTGGCCAGCTGAATGGGTTGGGACTTACTCCTGCTTGCTAGGCATCAGCTCAGTCCCCATGGATAATCTTCCTTCAGTTGCTGCCAAACTGGCAGTAAATATGCAGTCAGGTAAGACAATTTCCTGCACAAATGACAACCAGTTTCCCAAGAGGGAAACTGCTGCTTTACTGCTCATCTACACCAACTAAGAGAAGTAGCAACCAGCCAACAGCATCACAGACACACAAGGTCATCTCAGATTCTCGGCAGGCCAGACACTGTTCTGTCTCTGGGAGATCGGAAGGGTGAAATTTCAGTACTATGAAGACCTCCAAAAATAATTTTTTCTCTATACTTCGAAAACAAAAATGGCTGGAATCTGACATAAACAGACTGACTGTTTGGAATCAAACTTGTGATACAGCAGCAGACTCAACTTTATTCCTATCCCTCTCCAGACACAAAGTTCATAGATACTCCATCCAACAAAACAAGGTTCAAGCTAGCAAGCCAAGACAGACAGGATGAAAAGAACAGTAATCCTGTGAGTCTGGAGGATGCTAAAAAATTATTGAAGAAAGTGTTTTAGTCTTTAGCTTACCAGATAGTAAATTATCTCTGAAGACCAAGCAACATACATAGCGATGATCACATAACTCCTCTGTCCTTGAAAGTAAGTCTTCACTGTGAAACTCACTGCCTTAGTCTTGAAAGGCCAAGTTCAAGGTACTTTTGCAAATAAAAACTTTCAGTTGCTGAAAGGTTATTAAAAAAACTTACAATCTGCAAACAGAAAGTACGACTGGAGACAGCATCATGAGCAGATGATCCTGTAGCAGTTGTTATGGAATTTCTTTAACTTTCTTGAAAGCATCTCAGATTTGTTCCAGTTAAGGCTCATTAACCAGATAAGGAAGGGCAATAGAGTAAATCTAGCTGTTTGTCAGTTTTAGGGAAGGATCAATTCTTTACCTTCTTTTTAAAAAATCAATAACCTGGAGGAAACCCCAATCTTCATATGAAATGCTTTTAAATAGCCCAAGGCTAGGAAGACAAGTGCATAACTTATAATAAGTCACCCTGCATAATCTACAGTCACTTGCTAAACTGCGTGCACCGTGTTAGGGCCACACCAAGTGGCATGTGGTGGGCTAAAGAAGACAGACGATATGTAAAAGATGAGGGATTCCTTGCTGGAGCAGGACACAACCTGGCATTTGCCGTGCGGTGGACGGCAGCCTGCACACCTGCCCTGGATCTAGCTGGCTCCTGCCATTCTAAAAGCCCCTAAATAGACAACAGGACATTCAAAGGAGAGGGCAAGAAGATAAAGACAGGACAAGAGCACCACAGGTTCCAACAGAAGCGCCAAGACGCTCAGCGCAAGGCGAGGTGCTTAACTGGGAGACAGTCACTGTGGAGTGACTTGATGGTAGCTCTACCTCTAGCAAAGGCAGAACTTTGGTAACCTGGACTCCGTTCACCGAGCAGACAAAGTCGCAATAAGATCCAACGTCTCCAAGTTGGAACGAGGTATTTTGAGTTTTGACTTAGGGAAGGTTACAAATCTACCTAACAGGCTGGGATATTTTCCCTCACTCTTAACAGCAAGATTGGACGCCTCTCTAAAACACACACCTCACAGAAGTACAGAATGGATGAGGACGGAAGGGACCTTTGGAGATTATCTAGCCTAGTTCTAACTTGAGCAGTTAAATCAAGGCAATCCCATAATCTAGAATTCAAGTATGTCCAGATATCATAGCAGCCCCTTCTTGCTTTTTTGCTTTGGTAAGACATTCAAACTCCACGTGTGACATGCTTTGATGAGGAAGGAGACACAGGCAGCCATTTCAATGTCCAAGAGATGCATGAATCCCTGCACAATACAGTGGAAAAAATTTTATGACTTAGCTTATTCCAGGTAAAAGCTCTGGTGAATCTGAATATTAAGGTTTTTTTTCAGAAAGATTTTGTCAGAAAAGGGAAGGAAGTATGGCTGGAAAAAAACTCAGGATGGATCAGAAAGACTTATACCATCATGTCTGGAAAGATTTATTTATTTGTTTATGGAAAAGAACTACCTTTCATGAGGTAACAGAAAGAGATGACTTAACAGTGGGCTGAAATTCAATACACTGAGCTAACACTTCTGTTATTAACAGGAGCTTCTGCAGGAAAGATCTGTACTCAAATCTATCAAATACTTAACGTGCTTTTTTATACATATCAACAATTATTGCTAGTGGGGCCTGTTGCTAAGACACTGGGAATCAGAAAGCAGGGAAAAACACCCTTAATCACAAATTTCACTCACTGAGGTGAGGAAGCAAAGCAAAGCCACCCAGCTGGGACGGGGATCGGTGCTCCTCTCAGTCTGGCAGCACTCGCAGTTGAAACGAGACCCGATACCGACAAGGATCCCTTCTGCTAACGGGGAGAAATGGATCCGACAAGGATCCCTTCCTTCTGCTAAGGGGCAAAGCCACCACGGCCGCTGCCGTAAGAAACACAGGGAGTGCTTAAATACCTTCGATGGAAAATCTTATTTGGTTTCTTTCATGATAAAAAAGGTAACTGCTCAGCCGGGCTGGGTGGGCTCCTCCTTGGGCGCTGCGAGGCCGGGCTGCTCCCAGGGCCCGGCAGCCAGGAGCAGGTCCCAGCATCGCCGCTGCCACCAGCCAGGCCCCGTCCCCGTGCTCCCGCCTCAGGCCGCGCTCACGTCCAACCAGGGAACACGCCTACGGTCCGGCTTCCTCAGGAGAAGCCTCCAACACCCTTCTTTGAAAGGACGAACAAGCCTCTGGTGGCCGTGATCAAAAGCTCACCAACCAAGGATGACTTTCGAAGGAGACATTTGGCATTAACAATTCCGGGGACCCTCAGAGCAGATCTGTTTTCCAGAGAGCAGATATCCAGCAGCATGGACCAAAAATTATCCTGGAAGGCTCCATGAACCTTGCAAAATATGAGTTCTTTTTTTTAGCCTCGTTCAGTAATTTTGAATTTATTATTGCAGAAAACTGGAAAGATAGACTCTGGAGCACAGACTTGAGCACACAGACCCAGAAAGCTGGATTGGTAACAGCAACTGGTGAAGCTCCTTCCTTACCTTCTCCCACTAAGGCTAACGTTGCAGCATTTGCCTCCTGGTAACAAAAATAGGGCCAGGGTCAAAGCAGTCTTAGCTTTATTTCATCCCTTGCGTTATAGGAAGAGCAGAGTGTGAGCTGTGGTAAGGCCAGCGTGTTCTGACCAGCTTGCCCTGCGTGCTAACCAAACCCTCTCCCTTCTGCTCACCAGGGTTGGTGATCTGTCACTGCAAATCATAAACCTGACCAGTCATGGCAACTAGGGGGGCACAAACGGGAAAGCTGTCTATGGAGCACAGGGCTGACGCTTATGAAACCACTGTGCAGAGCTGAAATGTCTTCACAGCTGCAGGGGGGCTGGAAGGCTTGTGCACACGTTCTCTCAGGGAGTGCTGGCTCAGCCATGCAGTGGAGAGATCTCTTCTCTTTAGCAACGGCCAGTGCAGAAACCACAGTGTAAGAATGGCTTCCATTCAACCTCCATTCAAGATCCCCATCTTCAACAACCTGCCTCCTCCTCCTCCTCCAAAACTGATGGCTACTGGAGAATCCAGCTTCCTGCGTGACAGATCCCACAACAGGGGAGGAGGTCCTGACTCCTTAACCTCTCCGTAGGGCCCAGGTTTCCCTTACTCAGCAGCTTTCCCTTACCCAGTGAAATGGCTTTCTGCCTTCCACACATGGTAGTCTCAGACTGCCCTAAACACAGGCCTCCAGCAGCCAAAGAGTGGGCCCTTGGGCTCATGCTGGGCAGATGAGCCAGGCTACTCTGTGCAGGATGAAGGGCAGTGTCTGCATGGTCCTTCTGTGTCTGCAATCAGACCCATCTGAGTATCTTCAGGCAAGTAACTCTCACAGAAGACTAGTTTTGTTTGTTTGTTTGTTTGTTTTAAATGCTGGATAATCGAGGCTGGAACCAGCAGCTGCAACCTACTGCAGGTGCTTGCGAGGGTGGAGAGATAGATCCTCAGCGATAAATCCTCTGGAAATGAGACATACTGGGAAGATGGGAACCTGTTCTTGCTGAGCAGAGATTACATGGTTGCTCCTCACAACACACTGTTCCTTAGCTATACAAATGCCAAAGCCCCTTCATCATCTGCACAGGGTTGGGCTAAAGTCACCACAGCCCAGGTGTTTGAGGGTCCATCTTTATTAGGTGATTGACCTACTGTTGGTCACCACCACCAGGTTTTCTCAGGCCCTGCAAACACCTGCATTAAGAACACTGTCTACAATGAGAAGTGGAGGGTGAGGGCGCAAGGATGTTTAGGAATGACTGCAACACGTGTGCTCATAGACATTGACTCAGTTCCCTTGGATAAATGGGAGATAGGAAGATTAAGTCTGATGGTAGTGACAAAGGTGACAATCTGTTCCCTGCACCTTCTGCCATCCTCCCAGTTCATCTCCATGCTCCAGAGAACTTGCATGGGGGCTGTGAGGAGCCACCAATGCCTGGCTGCCTTAAAAGCGATGGTCTGGTGGGCAATGTTCCTAGTTTATTTGTGGAACCCGAACTGCCTTATTGTAATACAAGCTAACTGACTGACTTGGTGCGGGAGGAGCATGTGCTCCCTCTGCCGGCTGTGGGTGAGCAGCTGAAGAAGGTCCCTGAGCTGAACGCCTCCGTCCTCGTCACCAGCCTCAACAGGGGCAGCCCCAACTGCGCAGGGCTGCCGCGCTGGCACGTGCCCTCAAATGGCACCGCAGCACACGGGGATGCCAGGAAAGAAGCAAGAAGTTCAGCCGCAAAGAACTTCTCTGCTTACTTTTAAAGCATCTGAAAGCAGCAAGGCCTCCTCTCCAATATTTCACTAGAATTTTGCACTGAATTACACTTAATCACTCATTATAAGCTCCCCTTTGTCTGGGGAGTGCAGATCGTAGTATCCCTCCAGAGTGCAGATCGCAGCGTCGTGTGGTATGCTGAGAACTGCCTTTTCCCGAGCTCCCTGAAATAAATATTTCATTGCCTGTGATTTAGTAGCAAGCTGCCACAGTCATTTACATGATTTTGAAAACCAGTTTGAACTCACTGGCTGCAACAGTTTCTCAGAAGCTTGTAAGAAAGATGCTTCTCCTCTAGCATGTATATTCACTCATTATACATGGGAATCTAGAATAAAGTTTGTGTACTGCTTTGCTAAATGCACTTCAGGTATGAGAATTTTTAGATAAGTATCAAAATCAAACAGCTAATCCCTGGGGAAGATGTGAAGAATTACATGGATTTTGTTAAAAATTCAGTGACCGTGGGGACCTGGCTGACACGAGCAGTGCCCCTCTAAGAGGAGATTCCAGCTTAGCGCTACAAAGCCCTCTCAGGATATCATCTGCTGCCCACCATCTGCAACCACAGAGAGGCCAAGGGAAGGATCCAGAGGAAGGATAATCTCTACTGCAACCCCTATGTTTCTCACCAACCACTCTAAATTACAGTTCACAGCAAAACAGATCTCCATGAGGATACTCACTAATAGGTGCATGCAGTGCCACATGTTCTTGGTAGGGAGTGTAGTATTTGTACTGCTTGCCACAGAATTCACAGGTGTAATTGCCAGTTTCTGTGAAGATGAAATTAAAAGGAAACAAAATGAAAATCAGAAGGGAGGGCAGTATTCTCTCACACAGCCATCGACTTTCTGACTTCTAACACAGGAACTGGCCAGCTGACAGACACACAAAAGCCTCCCCCCAGCACTGGGACCTTCTCCACCCTATAATTCACCCATCCTTTTCCCTAGCAGATGAAATAATTTAAACCAATGTCCAGACTGACAGACAGTATAAAAACTGCAGTAGAACTCAACAAGTTACAGAGGCCGTCCCAAAATCAGAGTGTGCAAAACAAGGATAAGATCCACTTATAAAGTCTGTATCACACATAACAAGGTCATATCTTCTGGCTGCAGATAGCGAGTGGTGATGGACCACAGGGACAATTAAATCACGAAGCAGAATTGTTAACTTTGAATCTTAATTACAGAACTTTTAGATCAGAACTGCAGATTTCTCTTGCAGAAGGAAGGGCTTTCCTGCAACAACCGTGCTAATTCCTGCGGCGGGGCGGGGGTGCTTGAAATACTGCAGCGATACAGCCAGGCGCTGCCACAGAACCAACCGCAAGGTGCAAACCCAAGCAAAACCCAGGGTTTTAATCAACCTAGGGTTTCCAGAACGGAAGGGATTTCAGAGAGGTGCCTGGGAAAAGCCTGGGCCTTCCATTGTTTCGCTGTTCTGTTTGGAGAACGCACCACAGATGGTGTGCAGGCAGTCACCGCTCAGCTCTGCCTGCACATCTCCAGACCCCTCTAACTGCTGCCAATTCGCTTTTCTCCTGAGCCTCTCCCCTCTTCTCTTGGCAGAGCTCTTGTGCAGAAAACACCACAAGCTGCATTTCTTAGGGCCAGGCTGCTGCTGTTTAATGTTCATTTGAACGTAGACGTATCCTAGAGCACCCCTGCAAAATGCAGCTCTCTGGTTTTCACGGAGACTCTCCAGCAAGTGCCAGACTGGAAACTCTGCGTGCTGCTTATTGAAATTTGGAAGCTGTGGAACAACTCATACTTGGACCAATCTTCTGAAACGGCTCCGGCTCCTCCTCCTTCACTTCGTCGGCTGCTATGACGGCCTGGTCGTAGGGGTCTGCAAGAGAACAGAACCAGCAAAGAGCTGACAACACCCCCAGGTTTTCCTTCTACAGCTGCCTGGGCACTGAATGCTCCTGCAGGTTTAATGACATTTCAGTCTGTAACAAGATTTCAAGGCATGAATTGCAAACCCAGCGCCTGCTCTGACCTGTCCCTCCTCCTCCTCCTCCTCAGGTGCCCCAGGAAGGCAGCCCACCACCCCTCCCCAGCCCAATAACGTGCCTTGCAGGCAATTAATGTTCAAGAAGAAACATAAAAAATGAGGAAGACTGAAGAAACACATTTCAAAGCCTCACTCCTATTCTCTGATTTTCTTCTAGTGCATTTCCCACCTAAAGATGCTACTCTGAGAGCGGGCCTGGCAATGTGGCTGGCAAGCAAGGCTGCGAGCAAACACTGATCAGTGACATTCCGCCACCTAACAGCAACGCCAGCAGCAAATCAGAACCCACCCCTTTTGGTAAAATCATTTAGTTTATGCCTTGGGCAATGCACTACTTCACCAGACACATGAAACGCCTGCTGCTCTGATTTGCAGAAGCCTGATCAGTGGGATGGACAACAGAAGCCTGGTATCTAGGAGGGCTGGGCATCAACCTGCTGGCTGTCCGTGCTGGGGAGGGACAGGGGATGCTCCTCTCTCCCTGGAATCAGGGAGGAAACTTCCTCAACTCCTGCAAACGTGGAATGGGGCCTGTTGTGCCTCAACTACTGAATGCTGGAAAAGGTTGGTGAAATAAAGCACATGAAGGATCTCAGCTTACCTGCCCGGTTTTCTGGGGCCCCTTCCACACTAAAAACTAACACAGAATAGAAGAAGGAGGGGAAGAAACAAAACAAAAATTAAGTCCTCTTAAATGGCCTTGTTTTCCTCCTGCATTTCACACTGCTTTAGCACATGTGAGTCCCCAGTCCCTCCTCTTCCCAGCAGCACCCAGCAGGACCCGGGTGAGTGCCCAGCCCTACCACACGCAGACCCTCCAGGCCTTCGCCCGCCCGCGCACGACGCGGCCCCGTGCGCGGCCGGCTGAGCCCGTCCCTGCGCCGGGCGGGCTGAGCCGCACAGAGCCCTTGGAGCAGCCACGCCACGAGCGGCTCTGCGGGGCGCGAGCGGCGCCTGCCGCCCTCTCACAGCCCCAGGCTGAGCCCCCTGGGCCGTGGCCACCAGGACACGTCTCAGAGAGGAGCAGACACTTCCCCTCTCGCAGACCTCGAGTCCCAGTAACTTCATTTTGACAGGAGGGAGGGAGCTGGCAATGGAGACTGCAAGGGCTTGTCAGCTGTACTCAGAGCAGGTTTATTTAGCCATACATTCCAGTTAAAACCAGCAAACCTTTCTGGACAACACTTAGCATGAAAAACGTGGGCTTTGCCAAGAGGCTCCGGCCACTCCAAACCTTCTGCTGTGCAGGCAGCCGGAGCTGAAACTCCAGCAGGCCTCCCGCTGTGGCCATGTAAGCGGCTGCCCGACGGCCTGGTCGCGGGCACTGCCAGGGCTCGCAGCATCACAAGCCTTCGGCTGCCCAGTGAGCAGATGGGGGCAAGCCAAACACAGGGAGTCCTCCTGCTCCTAATATTCCCCCTGCTTTGGGGGAAAAAAAGCATCGTGCTGCTTCTGGAGCGGGCTGTCTGCTCCTGTCCAAGTGCCACCAGCCTAACGCACATCTATCTCACGTGGGAAAAACCGGCCTGTCGGCTCCTGACAATTCTACGGGCTCCCTACCACAGCGCTTACCGAGAATGGAGGAATTGCTCAGCTCTGAAGAGCACCTTAGAAACAAGCCCGTGAAGTCAGAAACCAAAGCACCACCAAACCTTGCCCAGCCTCTAGCTGGACGGACAGTTTATTATCTTGAGGCGTTCAGCTCCAGCACGTCCAAGAGAGGCACGAGTCTTAACCCGAGCGGCGGCCTGCAAGGCCGGGCCTTGCGCTGCCCCGGCAGCGGGCGCCGCTCGGACGCGCACGCAGGGAACCAAGGGCGGCCGCCCGGGGGGCCGGCGCCCGCGGGCCCCGCTCGGCCTTCCCGGAGCTCCTCACGCCAACGCGACCGGCCTCGGAACGCTACTCACCATCCACGGCGTGCAGGTCTCTGTGCTCCTGGAAGCAGCTATAATATTTATACTTTTTCCCACAAATGTCACACGTGTACCTAAAGTTGTCTGTAGGAAGAAGAAAACAGGCCCTTTAGAAACGGCGAGGCGCCCGGCGAGCGCCGCGGCCCGCGCCAGCCCTTCCCGCGCTCCCTCACGCCCCTCAGGCACTCGTGCCGCTCGGGATCAACCCCAGCACAGCCCCAAGCGCCTCCCAATGCCTTGTTTCACAGACGGACAGCCCTGTTCCACAGCTGATAGGAAACTGTGTGGGGCTGAAGGCACCAAGCCGGCAGCTGCCTCCAAAAACGCGCTGGGAAGCTCAGGACTACGGTGTGAAAGTGCTGGTCGGGATGGGGGGAAGTGGCAGAACTCAACCCAGCGCCAGGAGTTGAGCTGCTAAGGGGCAAAGTTGTAAACCAGAGCTAAGGCAGGGACTGGATGCGGCTGCTTGCTCCTCCGTACTTGGTTCTCACTCCTGCTGCTTCCTAATCGCTCAGTACAGCCACCAACGCACAGTCATGTGGATCATGGGGGTTACACGGATCACGTAGAGCCGAACTGCACCAAACCCGAACCCAAGCAACACTCCAGCACATGTGGAGCAGGTACCAAGCTGGTCTCACACAGATCTGTACCCCAGGCCTCGCTCCTGTTACCCCAGCAAGAGCAAATGCCCTTCCCCACAGCCACGTGGCCCCTCTCTTCACTCCCCACTGAATCCTGCATTCTTCCAGATGCACCAGCTCCTTCCCGTGTCCCTCCTGCTCCAGCTGCCCACCCAACAGCCCATGTTCTCTGTGGTTCCACAGCCCCAACACATCTGTTTCCAGTCAGGAGATAAATGCAGGCTGCCCTTCCTCGGGAACGCTCCCCAGGACCCTCTTCTCTGCCTAGATGCCGACAGTCACCACACTCACAGAAACACACGGCGTTGGGAGACTTGGGACTCCCTGTCTGGTATGACTGGAACTCACCACGAGGGAGACTGACACACACCAGTACAAACGCTGTCCGTTTTGGAAGGACGACAAGCCCAAAACACCTCCAGGAAGAGTTTTATTCCCCCTGTAGCTCTAACAGTGCCATCTCTTAAGTAATCTTCGGAGCAGGTGTAGCGAGTTTTGTGATGTTAGTCATGTTGCTTTTTATTCTTACTAGATCTGCTGTGTCAGGAGAACTACCTCTGAGCAGATCCGCGGGGAAGCGGCAGGGAGACGCGGCTGGCGTGGCTCGGACTTTCCAGGGAACACAATCTGGCCTGAGCTGCGGCACTGCAGGGGAGGAGAGACCCAGGCGACGCTCGGGCTTCTGCCCTGGGCGACGCGGCTGGTGGCGCCATCAGAGCGGCAGGACCGGCTGATGCCAAAACCTCGAGCTGTCCGTGAACTCTCCGGGTCTGACAGGGGGCCGGGAATGACCTAGGCGCAGTTCACACTGCACAGTCAGAGGAAAACCTGAGCCTGGGTGCCCCAATCTAAGAGCACCTTTACCTGCCAGCACGGTGATCCTCCCCTCTTCCACGGCTGACGTGGGCCTTGCCGTTCAGACTGGCTCCGTAAGCAGGCACGTGCTGCAATGGGCCCTGCTTTGCTTGCCAGCTGGCCACAAGGCTATTGCAGCCATAAAGTAAAAGACATCAAACTTGCATAGCTGTAAAGCATCTTAACCTAGTGTGTTTTACCTTGGAGCAGGAGGGAGCCAGGAGGGTAAGAAAAATTCCTGCTCCTCCACAGCCGAGCTGCTTTTCAGCAAGTTGCAGCGTCCCAGTTGTTTGCGTTTGTGTAACCAGCCAATTAACAAAGTTAAAGCTTGTTTGTTTTCAGCTCTTCCACTTGTGCGTTCACACACACCAGAACAGCACATTAAGCAAGCTTTTATTTTGCTTGTCAATAATTTCATTTATTAAAGAAATAACTATTTTAAACTAACACGCATCAGCACAGGCTAAAAGCTCGCTTGGGCTCATCACCGCAATCCATCAGCAACAGCTTCAACACTAAACGAAGAATCAATTTCCACCCTTTTATTCCGTTAGATAGAGTGGCAGGAGAAGCTATGGTCTCTAACAGAAAACACCAAACACAGTAAGTGTTAAACAGCTGGGCACCAGAACTCTACCTCTGCCACCAGGAAAATGCCTGTGACTTATCAGCGCACAGCAGCGCTGACCTACATCGAAGGAATTTCTGAGAAGTCTGGGCTGAGTAAGTGAGGCAGGAACCAGGTCTGCACGGCCAGACAAATAGGATTCTCTGCTCAGCCAGGCACCGCCGAAGAAAGAGAAGGAAGATGAGCAAAACGCCAGCGCCAGAACGTTCAAGCGATGAGAACACTGGTGTGTCCTGCGAAGATGCCAACGTGTCACTCCTAACGACTGGATAACCTGACGCACTCTGCTTCTGGGGTCACATAACAGCATTAAATCTCTGGTCCTACGCAGCAGCCTTTCAACCACAGAATCTTATTTTTGCCTGTGAGTATCTGCGTACCTGCTGTGGAAAAATACAACCAATCTTGTACCATGCCACCAGCAATCGGCACCATGTTACTGGGCATCCTCAAAAGAATGCAGCTTTGTTTTTCAAGCATAATGAGCTGGGTGGATAAGTTGTAGTCTAAGCCGAAGGCTAATTCTTCAAAGGAGAATGAAATATCAACCACTTTCAGCACCTCCATGGGAGAAAGCAAGCTAACACAATGGTCATTTGGAAGAGAAGTGCTCAGTACGCATGAAGACTTGACCAAAACTAAACCAAAGTACCCCAAGAAATAACTGCACAGAGGTTGGAAGGTTTTTCGCCCATTTTGCTTACAAAGCCACTCCCATAGATCAGCACTCAGCAAACGCTGCCCCTGCAGGACCTTCTGTGTGAGCGACCTCAAAATGCGCAGATCGCCAGCAAGAAGAGCAGCCAGAATCAAGACAACCCTCTATCTGTCTTCTCAGGTGAGGATCAAGCAACATAGCTTTTATTTTACTTTTTATACAAGAGCCATCAGACTCAATAATTAAAAAAACTAAAGCACAAGGAGAGGGCTGTGTGACCACAAGCACGACAAGAGCCCACGGAGCTGCAGCTGCAGCCCTCAGATATCAATCTCACCCGTTTGCCTTTATTTTCTGGGAGGTGAAGAGGGACAGAAGGGAGGTTTGGGAGGTTGATGGTTCAACGCTCAAGCACCGTGATCTCTATGGACCCCGACCTGGATTCCCACTGCAGGCCACACAGGCTGGCAACAAGGAGGAGGCAACACACAGAGGCAGCCCCAGGAGACACGGGGCTGGTGGCACCTTTCTGCATATCTCCAAGGGGCTCCTGTCTGCTGGCTCCTGTTGAGGTTTGTGTCATCTGTCCCACCAGGAACGTCAAGAGACACCCTGCCTTGGGGGCGATCAGCCTGCGCATCCTTCTGCCTAGATATACAACAAATATTTTGAGATATTTTTGTGCTTTTGCTTCCAATATCGAGAAGAAAAAGCACATCTAACTTTGATAGGAAAGACAGCAGACAGAGACCATGTGCTCAACGTGGCAGGCAAAAGAAGAGACCTCCTTTGCAGGGCTGTTGGCCAAGAGCCTCAGTGGATTTTGCCCTGAAACCCAGGAAGGGAACGACAGTAATTAAGAATTCGCTGAAAAGTCAGGACTTACGAGCTAGAAATACAGATCACTTCCCCCCACTCTTGAGGACAAGAAACCCAGTCCACATGGACTGCACAAACCAAGGTTTTCACCGCATTCAAAGAGCTCGGCGCGGCATCGCAGGATGGAGACGGTTGCACAGCTCACCTGCGCGTCCCGTCTGCTGGCGGACGGCCTGGACCAAGGGATCGAGTCTCCAGGGAGCCGGGTGGGGGAGCTTCCTAATGACCTCCAAAGGGCCATTTTCCCCTGCCCTGTACCTTGCACTTATCTTTCAAGCAGAAGAACCCACAGAAGCTACTCAACAGAGGGCCTCTAACAACCAGATGTGCTGCAAGCCCTCTTGAATCCCCAGAGAACTCCAAAAATCAGTCTCCTACATACAGCTTCCAAAGGGGGAAGAAAGCAAGAAACCGCAGAGTGCAAGCGTATTGCAAAAGTCTGCTGAATTATTTCTAAAACCCATCAATGTTTTAGCTCCTAATCAACAAAAAAAAAGTGGAGAAGTTCAGGGAAAGAGGGCATTGGGTGAGTGGCTGCAGCATTCATTACTTGTCCTGCTTTGCGACTTCATCCTTCCATCAGGAGGTCTGAGAACTGCAAAGGAAGTTCTAAGCTCTGGGAACTCCACGTTTGTGGCTCAGTCTCAGGAAAGAAGGCTTCAAAACACAAGTGGTTAAGATTAGGAAACCTCACAGCATCTTGGAATGGCACTTACAGAGGGAGGTGCTACCCTCACAACCGCTGTGGATTTTCCTGTCCTCTTTCCCCTTCACGTTGTAATGCCTCTCCCCTCAAAACTGGCTCGTAGAACGAGGCTTATGTGACCCCAAAACAGCAGCATCGTCTCTCCTGCCATGGACAGCAGGGTGCAAGTCAGTCTGTGCTCAGTTTTGTGCAGAGAAAGGAATGTATTTCTAGCTTCCCAGGCTGGCAGGGTATTCCCTGAGCAGGTTCAAGGGCTGCTCCTTTGACCTACCATGTTCTGGAGCTTCCTTCCTGGCAGTGGGGAAGGACAAAATGTTTCCTGCCTCAGACCTCCCTCTGCTCCTCCTGCAAATTTGGGTCCTGCACAGAAGTTACACACTTTACACCTGCGTTTTACAGCCCAGTACAGAGATGCCAGTAAAATCAGTTTCAGTGTAGATCACAGCTCCACTTAGAGGTGTCTAATAGCAAAGTTCCTTGAAAAGAGAAAAGGAGCGAGCCCAAAGTCAGCAACAATTCCTTAAGGGGATTAAAGTATGCAGAGTTACATTAGTGAGGGTTAAATAATGACAAAATCCAGAAATCTGGAAAGGACAGAAACACTCACACACAACAGCCCAAGCCCAAGCCCCCTAACTGGTGCAGATGAGTGAAAAACCTTCCTCCTGGCCAACAGCTCCCAAACTGCCCGCTCCCCAGTCATGCATTTCCCAC